TGAAAGTGAAGTCTGCAGAGTGTTGGAGACCAAAGCTGCTCAGTGAGGGCTGTTAAATGAGAGAGCAGTTGGGACATAGAAACAAGTAATTCAAGATGTCAGGCTGCGCAGGCAGAGTGAGGTGAAGGGCACTTGTTAGATAGAGTGCATGGTGGAGGGATAACCTGAGAAGTTAGAGCATGTCTAGATGCTAACTGGGAAGAGTAAATAACTGACAGTGAATTCACAAAGAAAGAGCATAATTTGTAAGCTAATGTCACTGAGGGAGGCCACCATAACTTTGGAATAGTTTTATCCTTAAATTTTTAAAATTCAAAACATTTTTATATTTTTTTCATTAGAAATATAATTCTGCCTTCTTTAGAAATTTTAAATACCAGAATATATAAATTAGAATCTGAGTGTACCCCTGTAATTTCAGTTATACCCCAAGATAGCTGCTTTTGAAAATTGTTTAGTCTTTCAAACTTTAAAAAATGAAACTGTAAACACACATATATATACTAATAAAATGGAATTATAATATAGACATTGTTATATGCATAGTTTTTATCTTTAAACAATATATCATGAACAGATACATTTCTATGTTAATAATATAAAGCAACTTCAAGCTCTTAATGTCTTCACAGTATTCCATTAGGGAATATATTTAATAAATTCCATTTTAAATTCTATTTTTTAATTGAAATATAATGTACATATTTATGGGGTACATAGGGATGTTTTGATAAATAGTGTATAGTGATCAGATGAGGGTAATTAGGATATCCATCATGTCAAACATTTATCATTTCTTTGTGTTGGGAATATTTCATATCCTCCTTTAGCTATCTGAAACTGTGTGATATATTGTTAATCCTTGCCATCCTACAGTAGTACAGAACACTAGAACTTATTCTGCCTAATTGCCAATTCCATATTTATGAACATGTAGAAAGCTTTCAATTTTTTTCTATTAAAAATTCCAATAGAACAGCTATACTTACATTTTGATCTTTATTTCTTAAAATATTTTTTGGAATATTTCCAAAAATATAATGGCTGGGCCAAAGAATACATTGCTAGATAGCACTAATCCATTCTCCTATTGTTGGCAAATAGCTGGGGAGAATTTCTTCCACTGATTAGATCCGTAGAAATAAAAGGAGATTGTAAACGAAGATCTGACTTTCCAGAGTGGGCAAAGCAAGCTGAGCAACTATCCTGCTCACCTTTCCTCTTGCCCTCACCACTTTCACCATGTTTTCTAATTTCTCTGTGAAGTAGGAGACAAATTTTCCTGCTCAGAGTGAAGATGAAAGCGTAGGTATATATGCTTAAGGAAAATACAGATTATTTAAAATAGTAACTATGAGGAGAGAAAGGGAGCTGCGTGCTGAAACGGTGGAGGAAATCAGGTAGCCTTGAGGCCTTATTTCATGTTAAAGGCCATGAAATTGTAATCAGCAATCTTCCTGATCATGCGATCTTTTTCCCAGCAACATTCAGCAAACTTGGTTTAGGAACAGAGAATATAGCCAGAAGGATTTATCCAGGTTGCTGTTTTGTTAGATGGGTGCAGTCAAGGAACAGGGAGCTAAGAAACGATGGTCTGTGAGGTCCAAGCTAGATAAGAAGGAAGAGAAGACTGATAGGCAGCAACTTATAGATTTAGAGAAATTAGTGCACTAACCAGCTGACAGTTTTATAACCATATCTAGCTGTACTCATATTACTGTCAATGCCCTCAGTATATTTTTTACGTATTATAATTTACTCACTTGTCTATTTTATAAAGCTGTGCTTTTGGAGATATCCATAGCAAACTGCAATTAATCAATTTACCAATTGACAAGTCAAAATTTCTGTTGCCCTTCTGTCTGTGTATGTTTGCATTTCCAGCTATTGAGACACAACATGCAAATATACTGATCTGTGGAGGTACACACAAAATATGGCCATTAAAGATTGTCAGATGTACACGAAACATGCTTGTTATGGCCATATCACTAAAGCTAATTTGTTTTATTATAGAATTTTAAAGAATGGAGATTATATTGCTCTAATAAATTTATATGACCAGATTTTCATAAATTTCTTTGAGGGCCACTGGTAAGCACTGTCTTTAAAAATTGCCATAACTGAACTTTTTTTCTAATATTTTATACTATTTTCTGATAGGTTATAATATTCAGTGTCTTGTGAATTTTTTGAGTATCTATGTGTAGCAAAATGATTTCAGGTTACATCATTTTGCTCAAATGGAATACAATTCCTGTGAGCTATTTTTATCCAAAATTTCCTTGATGACTTTTGTTTGTTTTTAAGACAGAGTTTTGCACTGTCATCCAGGTTGGAGTGCAGTGGTACGATCGTGGCTCACTGCAACCTCTGCCTCCTGGGTTCAAGCGATTCTCCTGCCTCAGCCTCCTAATTAATTGGGATTACAGGTGCCCACCACCAGGCCCAGTTAATTTTGTGTATTTTTAGTAGAGATGGGGTTTCACCATGTTGGCCAGGCTGGTCTCAAACTCCTAATTTAGTGATTTACCCACCTTGGCCTCCCAAAGTGCTGGGATTACAGACGTGAACCACTGTGCCCAGCCAATTTTTTTAAAAATTAAAAACAAATAGACCTCACAATATGAACCATTATGACATACTTAAGCTTGACTTCTTGCTCAAACTTAGAATCAGATCATACTTCTGTGAATTATCTGGCTGAGAACAATAAAATCAAGAAGGTGAAGTTAAAGGCCATTTTTGTTATTCTTTCTTAAGAAGTAAATGATTTCACACCGTATTTTTCTTTTTCCATTTGTATTAAAACCTTATTACTATAACTTGTATATTATTATTTTAGTAAATTCACTACAATTCTTTTATTTTATTTTATATTTGAGACAGAGTCTTGCACTGTCACCTGGACTGGAGAGCATGGCGCAATCTCAGTTCACTGCAACCACCACTTCTGGGTTCAAGTGATTCTCCTGCCTCACCCTCCCTAGTAGCTGGGACTATAGGCATGCACCACCACATCCAGCTAATATTTTGTATTTTTAGTAGAGACAGGGTTTCACTATGTTGGCCAGGCTGATCTCAGACTCCTGATCTCGTGATCCATCCACCTTGGCCTCCCAAAGTGCTGGGAATACAGGCATGAGCCACTGCAGCCAGCCTCATCTTTTTTATTCTTGTAAAATAGCATTTAATAGATTTGGTGGGTTTGTCACTAGAGGGAATTTTCATAGAGAAAGACATGAAATGCAATTCTTTTTTTTCCATATTATATGTTATTAATGAATATTTCTTGTTTATATATATATATACATATTTTATTGCACTTTAGGTTCTAGGGTACATGTGTAGATCATGCAGGATTGTTGTATAGGTACATACATGGAAATGTAGTTTGCTGCCTCCATCCCCCCATCACCTGTATCTGGCATTTCTCCCCATGTTATCCATCCCCAACCTCCCTACTCCTCCCTGTCCCTCCCCTATTCCCCACCAACAGACCCCAGTATGTGATGCGCCCCTCCCTGTGTCCATGTCTCCTCATTGTTCAACACCCACCTGTGAGTGAGAACATGCAGTGTTGGATTTTCTGTTCTTGTGTCAGTTTGCTGAGAATGATGGTTTCCAGATTCATCCATGTCCCTACAAAGGATACAAACTCATCGTTTTCTTTTTTATGACTGTACATTCCATGGTGTATATGTGCCACATTTTCCTTGTCTAGTCTGTCATCAGTGGGCATTTGGGTTGGTTCCAGGTTTTTGCTACTGTAAACAGTGCCACTATGAACATATGTGTGCACATGTCTTTATAATAGAATGATGTGCAATCCTTCGGATATATACCCAGTAATGGGATTGCTGGGTCAAATGGAATTTCTATTTCTAGATCCTTGAGGAATCGCCACACTGTCTTCCACAATGATTGAACTAATTTACACTCTCACCAAGTATAAAAGTGTTCCTATTTCTCCACATCCTCTCCAGCATCTGTTTTCTCCAGATTTTCTAATGATCGCCATTCTAACTGGCGTGAGATGGTATCTCAATGTAGTTTTGATTTACATTTCTCTAATGACCAGTGATGATGAGCATTTTTTCATATGTTTGTTAGCCTCATATATGTCTTCTTTTGAAAAGTGTCTGTTAATATTCTTTGCCCACTTTTGAATGGGTTTGTTTGTTTCTTTCTTGTAAATCTGTTTTAGTTCTTTGTAGATTCTGGATATTAGCCCTTTGTTAGATTTTTTTTCCCATTGCGAAATTTTTTCCCATTCTGTTGGTTGCTGGTTCATGCTAGTGATTGTTTCTTTTGCTGCAGAGAAGCTTTGGAGTTTAATTAAATCCCATTTGTCTATTTTGGCTTTTGTTGCCAATGCTTTTGCTATTTTAGTCATGAAGCCCTTGCGTATGCCTATGTCCTGAATGGTTTTGACTAGATTTTCTTCTAGAGTTTTTATGCTGTTAGGTCTTATGTTTAAGTCTTTAATCTGTCTGGAGTTAATTTTAGGGTAAGGTGTCAGGAAGGGGTCCAGTTCCTGCTTTCTGTACATGGCTAGTCAGTTTTCCAAACACCATTTATTAAACGGGGAATACTTTCCCCATTGCTTGTTTTTGTTGGGTTTGTCAAAGATCAGATGGTTGTAGATGTGTGGCATTGCCTCTGAGGCCTCTTTTCTGTTCCATTGGTCTATATCTCTGTTTTGGTACCAGTACCATGCTGTTTTGATTACTGTAGCCTTGTAGTGTAGTTTGAAGTCAGGTAGTGTGATGCCTCCAGCTTTGTTCTTTTTGCTTAGATTTGTCTGGGCTATGCAGGGTCACTTTTGATTCCATATGAAGTTTAAGGTGTTTTTCTCCAGTTCTGTGAAGAGGGTCACAGGTAGCTTGATGCAGATAGCATTGAATCTATAAATTACATTGGGCAGTATGGCCATTTTCACAGTATTGATTCTTCCTAACCATGAGCATGGAATGTTTTTCCATCTGTTCGTGTCCTTTAAAAATATGGAACGCTTTATGAATTTGCATGTCATCCTTGCACAGGGGCCATGCTAATCTTCTCTGTATTGTTTCAATTTTAGTATATGTATTGCCAAAGCAAGCACATGAAATAAAATTCTAAATATCCTTAATATATTTGTTTTTAAAATTACTGCCTTTTTTTTTTTTAACAAATATCAATTCAGTACCTACATAGGGCCTGGAATTCTGAAAGGCATGGGGGAACAATGATGTCCATGATAGATGAGATCCCTTTCTTACTGTTTATAATCTGGGAGGTCCATGTTACTTTTAAAAGGATCCTATGTTATTAAATCAGATATTCTGTGGGATGGTTAATACCGAGTGTCAACTTGATTGGATTGAATGATACAAAGTATTGATACTGGGTGTGTCTGTGAGGGTGTTGCCAAAGGAGATTAACATTTGAGTCAGTGGACTGGAAAGGCAGACCCACTCTTAAGTGGGTGGGCACCATCTAATCAGCTGCCAGTGAATATAAAGCGGGCAACAAAACATGAAAAGGAGATGCTGGCCTAGCCTCCCATCCTACCTCTTTCTCCCGTGCTGGATGCTTCCTGTCCTCAAACATCAGACCCGAAGTGCTTCAGTTTTGAGTCTCAGACTGGCTCTCCTTGCTCCTCATGCTTGTAGGCTGTCTACTGTGGAATGTCATGAGATCTATATCTATATCTATATCTATAGGACTTTATTAACTTGCATGCTACCCCATATATATGTTTATTATATATATATGAGTTTATTAAGTTTTATATATAAATTCATATATAGAATATATATAGAATAAACTTATATATAAAAGTTTATTTTATATATATATAAGTTTATTAATAATTAACTTACATAATACCCCATTTTATATATATATATATATATAGGAGTTTATTAAGTATTAACTTACATGATATATATATTTATAAATATATAAAATGGGGTATATATATGTAAACATATATGTATACTAATGTTCACATATATATAAGGACTAATGTACACTGATTAATACACTGACTAATACATTCTGTAAGGTCTTGAGGAGAGCTGCTGGCTGAGGCATGGTGGGCTAAGAAGAAAAATCTATACCTAGAACACATAGCACATATTAATTCTTTGTTTCTTCATCACTGTTAATATGCAGAATATTCAGCAGTGGCAGCAGCTAGATCAGCATCAATCAGAGGGACTCATGATACTGGGCATGGGCATACTCCATTCCCTGCCAAGGCTTTGTTATGCAAATACTGGAGTGACCAAAGTCGGAGGCTAGCTGGTGCCTACTTGATGAGTCATCTGTAGTACAGAGACTTCTTTTGCATCTCTGGTGGTAATTGACATGACACACAAGTATCAACAAACTTAGCTCCCACTCCCATGGACCCTCCTGCATGCTTCTTTATCCTCCTGCATGCTTCTTTCCCATACTCCTTGTCTTTAATTTTCAAATCTTATTCCTTGTGGCACCCTTAACCAAGTCATTTGACATTACCTATAAATCTGGGTATATATTTACCTCAGACATTTTCCACTCCACACCAAGTTAATGAACAGGTATATTGCTCAAAGCTCTATCCATTGTGAAGATTTCCCCTCCTTATTTTTGAAGAACTGTGCTGGGTGTGTGGCAACTGGACAATTTCAGACTGCATAAACAAATCTAGCTGATCAATGCATAAACCAGACCTAATCTCTTATTGGGCCATCATATGAGTTGCGGTAGAGACAGTGTCACAATAGTGGTAGATGTCATGGGGTTATGGGCTAAACTGTTCATGTTACCTTGCCTGTGCCACTCTTGACCTGTGCCCCTCCTGACCTGCCTGGTACCAATTTTCTTCATATATGTTGGGTTTCTGTTGCACCCACTCACCCTCTTGGCTTGGTGTTTTTCTGACCTTGATCCTATAGGGTAACAGAATATGCCGCCCTAAAATATGCCACATTGGAATAGGATTATTTTAAGTTAAAATCACTTAAAAAGCAGTAGACGAAAGAAGGGTAATCTGAGCTTCCTTTTGTCTTTCTAAAAGCGAACAATAAACTCCCGTGTGAAAGGTATTCTCCAGATACCAGAAGGAAGACATTCTTTTTTTTTTTTTTTTTTTTTTTTTTAATTTTTTATTGGATTATAGGTTTTGGGGTACATGAGCAGAGCATGCAAGACAGTTGCGTAGAGGAAGACATTCTTATCACCAGACATGAGTAGCTGAAACCAGGAAAAATCTGTACAAATAAAGTTTGTTAAACTGGGTTAGTTTAAACTTACCTTTCTATACTTTCTCCTATCACAAACCCCTTTGTAATGTCATATGTTCATAATTTACTACACATTATTCAAACTAGTTTTGTAAGCTTTTAGTCCTAACTTCTTCATTGTGTTGTCATTTGTCTAGTGAGGTCTCCCATGCACATGTGAAAGTTGCTAAATAAAATGTGTATGCTTTTCTCCAGTTAATCTACCTTTTGACAGTAATTTGTAGGGCCTCAGCTGAAAAATTAGAGATGAGTAGAGAAAAAAGATTTTCCCTTCCCTAGAATGCCATGACCGAGACCATAGTTTCTACCAGGCCCAAGAGAACATGCCAGTAGCTGTTTTGGGAGGGTCAAGATTTCTCTGCTGTGGACAACATGGCCTTGTTTTCAAACCCTAGATGTCTGCACTATGATTTTTACATCAGGGTTCTCATATCATGGCTTGTCAGGAACATTATACCCTATCCTTATCTACCACAGTTATCTCTAGCATTAGTATATCAGCTAGGTTGTATGGACACATAGGGACACATAGTATAGCCAGAACCTGCTGCAATTCCCTCTCGGTCTTCACCTCACTCAAAGTGGAAGCCTTTTTAGTCACCTGATAAACAGAACTGAGTAGTAGTAGCTTCCAGTACAGGTCCTAATTCCAAAAGCCAAAAAGCCTTGCAAGGTCTATGCCTCTTACTTAGCATAAGCTATTAGGAGGTACAAGTTGTAGTGACTTACCTGTTACTCTGGAGGAGGTATCACAGCGTGCCTCACACTAACATATCACTCAAAACTTCACACATAACAGGACTGTAAATTCTTATAAGGCTTTTCTCCTTCAGTTTCTTCAGGGACCATGTGTACTTGATACTTCTAATGATCAGATCTGGTTTCAATGATATTAAAATAGTGGGGCTGCATAGTGTTTTGTGGAATGTCAAGATGATCAAGAGCTCTGATTCTAGGGCAAGAACATATACATTTAATACAGGGTCTCTTCTGTTGCCCAAGTTGGAGTCCTGTGGTGTGATCACAGCTCACTGCAACCTCATCTTCCCAGGCTCGGGTGATTCTTCCACCACAGCCTCCTGAGTAGCTGGGACCACAGGTGTACACCACTATCCCCGGCTAATTTTTTACAGTTTTGGTAGAGACAGGGTCTCACCATGTTACCCAGGCTGGTCTCCAACTCCTGGGTTCCAGCAATCCACCCACCTCAGCCTCTGGAAGTGCTGGGATTATTATCCTGAATACATATTATTGTCTTTCCCAGCCCCCACCTCAATCTCTCTCTCTCTCTCTCTCTCTCTCTCTATATATATATATATATATATATATATATGTATATCCCATGTGTGTATGTGTGTGTGTGTGTGTGTGTGTGTGTGTGTGTGTGTGTATATATATATATGGGATTCTTTTGGAAGGGAATTGAAAATAATGTCACAAAACGTACCAGAGTACAAAATACTACATCTGGAACAGCCGTTACAAGTGAGACTACCTCATTCATAATTTTATTATAATGCACCATTATCTACCATCTTCTTTATGGTTTTTGGAGGGATTATATCAGTGAACCCAACTGGGATAGCCTGGAGACCTCTAGTCCTATAAAATTTGTTTGTAGGTGGCATTAATTTCTGCTAATCCCCTCAAATGCAATATCACTTTCCTGATTTTTCATCTTGGCTATGTGGAAGTAGGGAGCAGTTTTTAAATGTCTCTCAATTTATAGCTTAAGAAATCAATGTGAAGTTTCTACCAGCTTCGAGATGCACCTTTAAAAGTTATGCACCCAGGGTAGGTCTGCAGACCCACTGATGTGAGATGAAGCTGGGCTAGGACTCTATTCTAACAGGAACACCATGAGAAGATTTGGAGTCTTAATACCCATATTAGCTCAAACTCTATCTAATAGCTCTCAAAAGATCTTTATATTCTCCTTTTACCAATGTACATTTGTTCTAACAAATGCCCACAATCCTCATTTAGAAGGATGGTGGTACAGGTATTATACATGCTTGGAATTACATTCTAGGCTTCTTCCTTAAAAGTACCTGGTTTCCCATCCAATTCACGGGGTTCTGGATTTGAGAACTGGCTTAATGTGATTTTTCCATCATAGCCACTGTCGGTCTTCTTCTCACCTTTTCTTAGTGTTTTGGGGGCACCTAAGTCAAGCCACATTCTTGTTGATACTCACTTCTCTCCACTCTAAAAACATGATGGTCTGTTACCCTCTGCTGTGGATCTCTTGCAAGTCAAAGCCTTCTAGTTGCCATTTGTGTTGTAATTGCGTACAATGTGCCTCTACTGATTGAATACCATCAGTTGACCTCTGCCATTTCAGCATCCTTTCATATTGACATTAAGGAATCTCCTTTCATAACAGCATCTCCTACTATCAACTAGCCAGTTACCACAGAGCTTCTCAACATTCTGGTGTCTATTTACCAGTCAATTCTTTATCACTTTATGGAGGGTAGCATCTTCTCAGCCTGGTGATGGATTGTAGTCACCTGGCAGGTCACTGAACTTATGTAATAAACCCAATCTTATATGCCCAGCTCTCTCAGCATTTTAGGCTCTTTCTTAATACTATGTCAAGAAGTTCCAGCAATTCTGCCTCATCTACTTTAGGCTATCACGATTTTAACTTTCAAGGAGTGTTCCAGCATTTTATTAGGACTAAGTCCAGTAACACTTTCTGTAGTTTTAGATCAAAATAATGTTGCTATATCAATAAGCTATCCCATCCAGTCTTGTGTTCCACCTTCCCTGGACCCCTCACGATTCTCCTCAGGCACTTTTGGCTGGTTCTGCCCTTGCATATTAT